TTCCTTTAAGCAAATGTATTTTATTCTAATGTGAATAACTGTGCATGCCATGTTGAAACAACTACAAAGCATTACATTATCTGTTTCTTCAGATATTAATATTGTGAAGCAAAGAATTAACTGTAAATAATGACAGACTGCTTTAAAGACAAGAAGTTGGTCCAATGAAAAATATTACCTCATCCTCTGTCTGCTTTGATTTCCAGAAACAGAGATAACAGAGGCAAAACACTTTAATTCATTCTTTCAATAAATCATTAGTAATTGCCTTGATGAAAATAAGCATTCTGAATGGGTTATTTAAAATGAAACTTTCATTAATCTGGTAGAAGGAAAAAGCATCTCAAAGATAAACAACAACAAAAATCAAATAAATAAACAATTTAAAAAGTTCCCAAGGGATTCCAAAATGCAAGTCACATTTCTGCTTTTCAGGTTAAAATACCCACATATCTGCCGATTGATCTTTACATTCGTTATGGCTTTTAGCAAAGTGATCTGTGCTGGCACTGTGCTGGCACACACTCAGATAAGTTTCTGAGTGTCCTACATTTTCTTTTAAACCGTTATTTCAATTGCAAATAAGTTGATCTGTTTCTCTGTAGATGAAAGCCATCTAAATGCACACGGCTAGCAGTTCCAGGGAGGATAGTGAGCCTTCGTGTAAAACACAAAGACTTTCACTCCTGTGCAGCCCTGAAAATCTTCAGCAAAGCTTTGCAATAGTGCTCATCTTCAGTCCACTATTTTCTGTAACTCTTGAAAGTATGCTAATTATTTTCTATTAGTTTCCGTACATGAAATTAATTCATGTAGAGTGCAAGCACAGGCTTGGTAAAGCATTAGTATATTTCATGTAAACAAACAAGAATAATAAAACTTAAATGTGTTGGGACACTTGCATCAAAAACGGCAAAGTCGAAATTCTATATGTAAATATAGTGAAATCTCGGGACAAATATAAACCCAAGGTAATTCACAGTGAAATAATAATGGGCATTTATATAAAGCCATTTACTGCATACTGCAGTTGAACTCGGAAACTCGAAAGTGAAATAAAACATCGAAGTCCTCTCTGAATCCGTAACGACCATTAAAATCCTGAACCCAGTGAAATTTTTTTAGCGTTTAGAAAGACGTGGATTCCTGGGCATCTGAGGAAGCCACTTGAGGCTGATTTACAATCATGCAGTTATAAGGTCAACACGTACAAAGTGTGCGGTTTATAAACGGGTGCATTACATAACCGTTATTCCTAAAGTGAAGTTTGGTAATAGAAAACCAAAAATGAGCACTAAAAAATCATCAATGCCTTTTTATAGGTAGCCAGAGAATTGTGTGCACCTTTTAACGTGTTTTCGCTGTCATCGAGCATCTTTATACTTTAGACTTAAAAATAAAATTAACAAATCTGCACATATTTTGCATTTATCTTGTTCCTTCACACTCTATCAATTGGTACATAAATATGTTTAGTACAACAGGATGTACCCCTGTAATTATACTTTGGGTACAAGTCAGATTATAGAAAGTTAGGCTCCTAACCCCAGATGAAGGCAGATAAATGAATAGCCTGATTTTCAAAAGTGCGGCGCGCAGATGCTTGAAATACTTGTCTAATCTCGGAAATGAGGATTAGGGAGTCTAATTACCCGATATAAAGTGTTAGCCATAGTCTGTAAAACGTTTATGCAATTTCACCAGAAATGGAGTGTTAGTCTCATTGCCAGATATTAACTAAACCTAAAATAAAAGTCACGCATCTGATGTTTTTAAGCACGTGTACACAGTAGTTTCAAACAAGAGGAAATAATGAAATAGAAATTAATGTCTCTAAAGAAATCTGTTTAGTACATGGAGACGTTTCGAATAAATATGGAATAATATTTCTGTGCAGGAACAGTCTCTTAGTTTTTCAGCTCATTCTTGAAAGCTTTAATATTGTGGACACACGGTAGGATGGTTTAGTGCGGTGGTAGGACGCGGCAACCCTTCTATAGGTTTTCTCGATCGATGTCAGAAGCAGGGCGGTCCTTTGGAATTTCTCAGGTCCAAAGCTGTCTGGGTTAGGAGCGAGATAGTTTGGCTTCTGTCTTAGTAATTATGTCCATGTCTGATCATTTCATATTATATGTCTACAGAGTATCATCTCGACAAACAAACTGAAACGCTTAAAAGGTTTTCAGGGTAAGTCTCCGGGGTGCAATGAAAAGGCTTTTTCTGCTTTAAGCACTGAGAAGCAATCAGCCTGATGCAACTCTCGTCTCCCTCTCCAGCGCTCCCAGAGGGAGACTTCTCGGTAACTACTCTCCCTCCTCCAGACTCCCCGTGTCACCGTTACACAGGAACCAATTCCCGGATTCCTGCCAAAAGCGCACAGCCAAATGGTCTCCCTTCCAGCCGCCTCCCAATTATTCTCTTTTAGATGAATGGGAAGGGAACAACTTGCTTGCCTGACATTCGGGTTCCATCTTGAACCCGGGATCCGCGAGCTGCAGAGTGCCACGCCGTGTTCTTGTTAAAGAGCCCCTCTATTCCCTCTGCTGTGAGGGAGGGAGTGTTATTAGCAGAATGTATCTGCACTTTGGTACTTGGAAACTCCGGCGCCCATTGTGTAAGCAAAGTAAAAGGAAAACGTTCTACTTACCGACAGGAATAGTCTCCATAGCACAATGGGAACATAACGCACGGGAGAAGAAACGCAATGTTTATTGGGATGATGCAAACAGAAAGTGGTTTATCCCTATTTGTTGCGGTTGGCAGAACCCATTATCGCCCTTACCGCTTTTCTGAAATGAAGAAAAGACCCATCGAGAAAGTACACACCTTAATTGAAATTTTCCACCGGAAAAACTAATCGCTGTCCGCTCTTTTCCTTGGGATGGGCTTGGGTCAATGTGCGTGTGTGCAAAACAGCTTTACAAACATACAGTAAATCCAACCGTCCTGTCATGGAGCAGGTGTACAAACTCTAGACACTCCTACAAAGCCATTAGACAGTGACTAAGCGCCCCTTTCAGTGTGATTCATTTGACCCTGTAGCTTGAGCCGCTTGGCTCGGGCAGAGGCTTCTCCACTGCAGATGTAGCTCTTCGCTTTCGAAGTGCCCAGGAAAAGGGAAGCAGCTGGAGAGCTGCCGAAACGTGACCACTTCAACTCTGGAATGGGGAGGGGGGGGGGGAGCCCCAG